GGCTTGAATAATGGTAGGGGAAACACTGCTAGTCAGAATATAATTAGAGATATCTTAAACAGGTATTTTGCCTGTTTCTTTCATTCATAAAAACAAAACCATACACAGTATGTACACCATTAAAAAAAGTAAATCCTACCCTGAATTAAAAGGGTGCAGAGTGAAGAAAAAACTGTTATCATATGTGTCCCTTATTTTCAAAATTCAACTTCAACAAACGAACAAGCTCAAACTGGAAACATCTCCAAGTTTAAAAAATAAGTAAGTAAAACAAAACATTTTACTATTTTATCCTAAATAACTAATGTGTCTAATTTAGTCATAAAACAAGTGTGGTGAAGCCAAATAAATGCAATATCAGCCTGCCATACTGTGAGCCTGTTGAACTGATCTTCTGCTGCTCTGCGCTCTCAGAGCAGCAGACTGTTACATTAGCAAGATGGGTTTATGACTGAACGAACATCCACATCTTTTTATCATCTCTGTGGGTAACAATACATAAAAAACAATTTTTTTCTCCAAAAACACGGGTGTGAAAAAACTACAGTTGTTAAAGCTTCACTCTGCGTGACGTGCAGCAGGAGGGAGGGATGATCCCGCAACACAAAGTAACTTTTCTACAGCGGAGGGGGTATTTTGAGGATTTATTCTCTCTATACGTGTTTTAAAACTTTTTATTTCTACTTTTATTTTCAGAGTATTTTGAATAAATGGCCCAATGAAAAAATAAAATAAATTGTTTATCTGCCCCGGGCAGTCGGGCAWTAGGATTTGTGGAACCCTGCTCTCATGAGGGCCACCTTTTCCATTTGTCTTTATAATTATAGGAGTGTTGTTTTTGACAGACCCAGTTTGTCATGACTGTCACAGGCTCTGCAGAGACCAACACCTCTGCCATCTGAAGCCGGATCTTCTAAGTTGTGATAGAAAACCTTGSATGTAAAGGACAGTGCATACAWTTCATCTTGCTGTGTGTGCTCTTTRTGTCCTGCTGATTCAAYTGAATCTCAAGTCATGAACCTGAACCTTTATTTAATATTTCCACCTGCCTCTCATCTGCCTTTGGGCTAGAAAAATCCTCATCCCTTTCCAAAAGCTTTGGCCCCAACATCTTGCTGAATGTTTGTACATGTAATGGCACAACGGTTCTCCTGTATTTGATCAGGTTTTCAATCTGAATCTTTCTGCCACTTGGTGAGACAGGTTAGATATTCTGGTGAAGCTAACAGAAGCACAGTAAGGTGTACTGAAGGGCTGTGGGAGCTGTRGGGAGCTCACCTTGGCAGGGCCAATGATCATGCCGTTCCAGTGGGTTAACATCATGTCGTCRTCATCTGCGAGGCCCCAGCTCACAGTTCCATCTCCACCGCCTTTCTGACCTTCTTCCAGTTCCTCCAGCAGCCGAAAGCTGCGAGGAACTACAACACCTTTCACAAAAATATTGTGTCAGAAAGTTTATCTGCCCACATGCAGAACGATTTGTCTGAATACTAACTGTGGTTACCATATAAACCATTAACACATGAAAACAACTGACGTAGTTTTTAATGTTGTGAATGTATGTACGTCCTGGTAACAACACAAAAACTGAAATCCTGCACTTCTCTTTCCTATTCAATTACATTATTTTTTAAATTAAGAATACAGCGGGTAAAATAAGTATTGAACACGTCAACATTTTTCTCAGTAAATATATCACTAGAGGTGCTAATG